ATTCCCTGTGTTTTGTTATTGTTCATTCATTCATTCCATAGTTATTCACTGAGTGCCTATGCTATCTCAGGCATTGTTCTAGGTAGCGTAGAACAAGGCAGGTATAATCTCCCTGATAGAATTTACTTATAGTCATGAAGTAATCAACGAATTAATACATAATAATTTATTTTAGATAGTGACAAGTATTAAAAATAAAATAGTATAATCAGATACTGGGTAGAACACATTAAAATGATAATTTAGTGACATGCAACCTTTTCTAAGATTCTGGACATGAACGTATGCAAGATTGGTAAATGTCTTATAAAACAATATTGATTGCTTTTTATTCTAAAATAATCTTGTGGTCACAAATTATGATAGACCTAGAAATGAACCACCTAATCCCCCTTTAAGAAAGGACTTACAAGCAACTGTCCTTGGCTACAGAGAGCAACTTTGCCCCGTTCACACCCTTCTCAGTAGCTCATATTCAATGGCTGGTCTAGGTGGGGATATCAAGGCCAAGCCATTTTGGCCCAGTTTGGATAACTCTGAAGGGTCATTTTAGCTCCAGAGCTCCCTGGGGGCCAGCTGAATCTACCATTAGGCCTGCATCTCTGCCCAGTTTTGCCCTCTGCCCAGCGCTGCTCCCTTCCATAGGTACTGATCCCCAAAGAACTTTCCAAAACAAAACAAAAAATTCCTGCTGTGCTAAACTGCCTTAGTTCTGCTTCTTAGAGAATCCAACTTGTGTCATAAATGTTACCTGTACCTACGTGTAATATATATTGTTGCTACCATTCCATCTGAAGGGACTGATCAGGGCAGTAACTTTAGAAAACTGCCCCTTTTCATTCCATTAAATGGAATAAGTGGAATCCAAATATATAATGTAAGAGATAAAAGCAGACCTTGTCCTGGGTGAGATGTGGATGAGGCCTGCTCCTCAGGAAAGCTTTACAAAACAGCTTGATAGTCACATTCGAGATTTGCTTCTTTCAAGATAATAGAAATAGAAGCACAGTAGCTAGAAGAGACCTTTGATGCCTTACAGAATAACTTTTAATTTTACAGATACAGAAACTGAGTTCCAGACAGGTTTGCAACTTGGCTAACAATGGCAGACAGAACTATGAACTAGTTTGCCCATTCTTATAGTCCATTATACAAAATTCTCTATTGAGAGTTTAAGATCCTACTTCATTTATGTTCCCAAATGGAAAACTTAGGAATCTGAGTAAGTTAATACACGTACACTTTCTGAGTAATTTTTAATTTCTATTTTATTTAAAGATATATAATTTTAAGCTCAGGTATATGACTAAATTGGTTTCACAGAGATACCCTATATAACATTAAATTTTCATATGTAATGTATTCATTTTTCTAGCCTGCTTATTTTCCTCTTACTTATATTTACCATCAGAATTGTAACAGGGTAGTCCCCAGGAAAAGGGGAGGTTCCAGATTCCCTGCCTCACCCAAAGGAGAGTGGAACTGAGCAGGGAGGAGAAGTGGGGAAGAGACTAAAGAAGGAAGCAGGATGGAGAAAAAGGAGACCTGGAGAAGGCATGTGGAGCGGACATGTAAAGAAACTGTGCTAGTTTCTTGGTCCTGGACTGGTTGAGCAGATGTAGGGGAGAGATCTGTGGGGAGGTTAACAATGGCAGCTTTTATCTTGAATTTGATTTTGCTCTTTTCTTCCCAGACTTGTCTGACTGTTTTTGACCCTTCTGGTTCCCTGCCAGAAGGTGCTTTAGACTTGTGACAGGCTTTGGGCCTTACTTTGGGCCAATCTTATTTGGATTGACTTTTACTCACAAGGGGATGAATAACTTTGGGAGCTTAATTTAAAAATTATATTCTTTGTCTTTTCTGTATTGCACACTAATTGTATTAAAGTTCCTTTCCATTAAAGGTCTACATGTTTTGTCTTAATGCGATGAATGGCAGAATGGCAGAACCTATTTACAACAGGCAAGTTTGGGGATTCTGGGGTAGCCCACTCCCGGCCCTGTAACAAAACCATTTTTAAGTGTACTGTTCAATACTACTAAATGCATTTATCATTTATGCAACCACCACTACCATTCATCCCTGCAACTCTCCAATTTGTAAAACTAAAACACCATATTCATGAAACAGTTCTCCACTCCTCTCTCCCCTGCCCCTGGCAAACATCATTCTACTTTCTGTCTCCATGATTCTGACTACTCTGAGTAGCTCATATAAGTGAAACCAGATAGTACTTGTTGTTTAGGGACCAGTACATTTTACTTAGCATATTCTTCATGGTTCATCCTTGTTGCAGCATATGTCAAAACTTCTTTTGTAAGGCTGAATAATTTTTCATTGTATGCATATATACGTCACATTTTGCTTGTCTATTCATCTGTTGATGGACATCTGGGCTGTTTCCTTGTTTTAGCTATTGTGGGTAATGCCACTATGAACATGGGTGTACAAATAACTTCTTGAGATTCTGTTTTCAATTCTTTTGGGTATATATCCTGAGGTAGAATTACTGGATCATATAGAAATTCTATTTTAAAAATTTTGAGGAATCACTGTGCTGTTTGCACTGTACCATTTTATATTCCTACACATAGGGTTGTCATTTCTCCATATACTTCCCAACGCTTGTTTTCTATTTTTTTTTCTGATAGTAGCCATTCTAATGGGTGTATCTCATTGTAGTTTTGACTTGCATTTTCCTTACAAATTGTGATGTTCTGCATCTATTCATATGCTTATTGACATTTGTAGATCTTCTTTGAAGAAATGTCTATTTTAATGGTTTGCTCATTTTTGATTTGGGCTATTTGTTATTGAGCTTTTGAGTTCTCTATATATTCTGATAATAATCCCTTGTTAGATAAATGATTTGCAAATAGTTTCTCCCATTCTGTGATTTGACTTTTTACTCTGTTGATATTGTCTTCTGCCTTTATTTTAAAGCAAATACAATGGAAGTTATATTTGCAAGTGCTTTTCAATTTTCTTCCATTCCATCCCATCCCATTTCCTCTATATATTTCATAATATGTAATGTACATTCTTTCTGACATTTTTTGTTTCAAAATATAAATTAGTATCTATTTCTTAAGTGATTATAAGAAGAAAAAAGTATTGAAAGATGTATATTCCTACATGACAGCTCTACATCAGCATGCCAAAATTAAAATTAAAAACCTTGAGTTCAAATTAAGGATCTTCGTTCTTGTTGACAATACCAGTAGTATATTTTTCCCCCCTAATTCTAGGTGCTCATTTGAGAAGCCCTGGAGTAAGAGAATTACTCGAGAATTCCTCTTTTTTTATTCTCTATATGGAACAGAACGTCTCTTCTTTTGTCCCCTATAGCCATGATGCCCCAGAGGGAATAAAAAGCAAAGAGTCAGATCTGTCAGCATTCATGATAGCTCCTTCTATAAAGACAGCTCAACAATGCTTTGTTTTCTACCCTTCAAACACATGATGACTTGAGGCCAGCTGGCAATGCTGATCTCTTAGCAGATTTCTACCTCTGTCTGATATCACACCTTTTCTCAAAATGCTTCCACAGCTTTCTGATAATCTGGATCCTTGCTGTCTCTCTGTCATTCGCTGGCCACATAGCTCATCAAGTTCTAACCTCTTCGACATCTTTTTCCTTCTCAAACATACAATGTTCTTTTTGTCTCAGGGCATTTGTGCTTGTTTTCTAACTCATGCCCATTTCTCATACCAAGTTGGCTAACTCCTAATTTTCTCTGAAGTTTTAGATTAAGTATCACTCAATTTGGTAGGCTTTCCAGTACTCCCTGCCAGATTAAATCCTCCTTAATCTAGAGTGAGCTTCATAATTTCATGATAATTGTTATTTGTGTAATTATTTGCTTAATCTCCCTCACAGATAATAGCTCCATCAATGCACCATGTCTCTTTTATTTCCTCTGCATTCTCAAGGTCTACCATAGTTCCTGGTACATAGTAGAGGTCTCCACCAACATTTGTTGAAAAAATGAAGAGGTTTAGTTTAGAAAACAATGTGTATCCCTCTCCTCCACTATTCACGATGGGGCATGGGTATACTTTCACCCTTACTGTTCAATTTCTTTTTACTCCCAAGAAAAATACACAATCAATTGAAGTCTAGGTGAAAAAAATCCTTAGTCATGCCTTCTCATTGGAATTAGAATGTGTCACCATCATTTATTAAGTACAAATACACCTAATAAAGAAATATACCTTTCTATATCCCTCACCTATACCTATTAAAGAAAAAATTACATGGAATCTTTCTTCTACAATTCCATATGGAATGCTTACCTAAAGTCACTAAAACACTTTGGGAATTCCTCCAAACTATTATTGATAATTCTGTGAAATACTCATTTTAATAGACATTGAAGCATAAAAAATATTTCCCCATATTTCAATTTACGAACCAACCATGATTATAGGACTGTATGAAATGAAGATCTTTAATTAGAAAAGTAAAGTCTAAATAAAAAACAGAATTGCTCAGAATAGTTAAGCTGTCAGAGAGCGAACCTTAGAAGAAACTAGCAATAAATCCAAGAAAGAACAAAAAAACATTAGAAACTGTTTCTAAAAAATAGTTTGTTGGGAATATACATTAAGAAACATAGTTCCGAATCAGCATGGTATTTTTGAGAGGGTACAACCAATATGTTTTATGTAGGAAAATTTTAAGGTCTACAGTATTAAGGTTATTGTTTTAGAGAGGAACTTAATGATTTCTTTGACTTGGAAATTTATGGATTTATTTATATTTATTTATTGATGGTGGTAGACATCAGAGTAACAAGAAAGAAAGATGAAATAGGCAAAGACAATAGCTTTAATAGTTGTCCATTATCTGTTCACTGTAAAAGAACTGTCAAGTGTTAAGTATAATCCCACATTTCAGATGTAAAAAGGTAATTAAAATATCCAGATGCTAAATGTCCTGAGCGGGTTTCATTATGATTGCTTAAACCTATAGCTATGGAGGGTACCATGAAACTTACCTTCTTGTGTACCACAGAGGAACTGGAATTGACTGTACTTTCGTCATCCTGCATCATGGCAAGTTCAGTGCTGCTCTCATCCATGACCTCCTGCATACTGTTCACACTGCTGCTCTGGCTGCCTGTGCTTACAGACATGCTTGGGATAGAATGGTTGCTTCCCAGGCTGTCCATTTCCCTGCTCAGGCTGGTTCCATGTTCGCTGTCCTATAAAAATGGGGCACTGGGGTTAAAAAAAATGACCGGAGATAAAGCGCCAATCCATTGCCTAAGCTATTAAGCACACACAATTTTGCAGTGCCAAGTTGCTTTTCTGCCAAATTTGCAAAGATAAACTTTTTATGTAGTGACTCCACTACTCCCCCCACCATTTTCAGAGATCTCAAATTCACTTCTCTGCTTTCCCCAAGGACCATTCTGGACATGGGTCATAAGGCTCCAAAAGCTGCAATCCCAGGGCTTTCCCTGTCATATGCAACTATCATATTATCGTATGGCCAGTCAGTAAGCAGAAGGAGGCCAGGTTTGTAAGAGACCTTCAGAGAAATTAAGTTGGTAGACTAGAGAATGACTACAAGCTACTGAACTGGTGACCTCTAGGCTATTTATAAATACAACAGTGGCCACTTGAAACTAAAATAGAATGAAAAGAGTTTTCAGAGTTTTGACAACATGTTCCTTTGCAAGTCATTATTGAGCATCTTCATATCTAAGCATGGATATTAATTCTACTGTCCTGGACAGGTAATTAAATTCTTCCTCCCTCAAGCAATTCCATCATGCTTACCTCTGTAATCTGATTAAATATATCTGTTAAATAATACTGGTATTCATCACAACTAGTCCAAAGACTACTATTTGAGAAGTGGCAAAATAATCAGAACATATAATTTATCCATCACAGTGGGATATCTTTTAATATAAGATTAAACAGAATTAAAGCAACTGAGCTTCAAATAAAACCTATTTTCAAAGAACCATGCTGTACATATATAACTTTAATGAATTGTTGCTTAGCCATGGCATAGGTAATTGGGGTGATTTAAAATGGCAGATAGTACATTATATTTTTGATAGATTTATTTTCCCAATTAAAGGTGACCATTTGTATATATGCAATCAAGATATTTTATAGTCCAATTCAGCTTTCAGAATTTCATGTTTATAATTATTGATAAAATAACTTTTATTTTCTTTCATAGTAAAAAGCTAAAATAAAATCTATCCTGCATTCCTTTTCACTTTAAATCTAGTTTAGAGGAAGAGGAATCCTTTCTTCTATTTAAGACTTCTCTTGCACTATGCTCTGCTCCTAACCTATGCACTTTCTGAAATCCTAATTATTTCACTATATCTTCAGTCCTGGTTCTTTCCCTTCTGCATACAGATGTGAAGAGGCTTGCCCATATTTATGAACCTCTCTACATATTGCCCTTTCTCACTTTCCCTTCTTAGCCAAATGGATGACTCTTAAAATAACCTACTTTTGTTGTCTCCACTTTCTCATTTCCCATTTATTCTCTAATCCACAGCAATCTACTGTTCATCTGAGCGATTCCTGTGAAACTGCTTTTACTAAGATGGCCAAGAATGCCCCCCTTGTAAAACACATTATCTTTTCCTGGGTCCTTGTCTAACATGACTGTTCCGTGGCATCTGGTGGTACTGGCCCCTCCTACCTTGAAGTTGTTCATTCTCTTAACTGCCATGAAAACCTTTATTTCTGAAGGCTCCCTTTTCTTACCTGATACAGGGCATTTTTTCATTCTACATTTAATGCCTTGATTCATTATCATTTTAATGCTCTTGACCCATAACCAACTACATTTTATGTAGCCCTCTTTCCTGTATTCTGGGTTTATATATGCCAACCAGTGACTAGGTGTCACATTCAGGTATCCCAATTGTTCTTACTCTTGCCTTCAACAAATCCTTCCTGAGTTATTTGATTGAGAAACTAGAAAGTCATTTCTCCTTTGAAAACTCCACTTTTATACTATGTCAGTAATATGTAATGCCAAGAACTTAAATTCAATATGTACCCAAGTGAAATCATCTCAAACCTATTTTTTCTCCTCCCCTGCCCCGGCCCCATTCTTGGTGTCGACATACTTTAGTCACCCAGGCTCAAAGGTTCAGAGTCACCGTAAACAACTCCTCTTATGTCACTGTCACTTTCAGTCAGAGTGTTGTATTAGAAAATCTACCTCTATAATGTTTTGAGGAAGTGTTCCTTTCTTCTTCATTTCTGTTGACACTACCCTTCTTCTTCTTGCATGTACTCTTCCCAATAATGTGGCCCATTCAAATCTATTTTATACTCTGTTGCCAGGATAATCTTTCCAAAGTACAGCTCTTTTCTGAGTCTAAAATGTCCCATGTCTGTCTATCAAAAAACACACAACCTTCAGGCCTCCCCTGGTGGCGCAGCAGTTGAGCACTGGCTGTGAAGCTGCCCGCAGCCTCTGCAGCGCCGGTTCAATCCCCGGCCACAGGCAAGGGTCCCACATGGAGCGCAGACCTCTCCTGCCGCCCGCTGCTCCCCTCAGCAGTGTACTTCATCAGTCTGCCTGTTCTGTTCCCCGCTCTGGTGAATTGTCTCATCCTCCCGCGCTTCTGACTGTACCCAGTGCTTGTATAAATAAATAAACAAATCTTTAAAAACAAAACAAAACAAACCACACAACCTCCATGCAACCTTCACGAACCCCACCAGCAAACTTATTTTCTCTCTACTGTGGAATCTTGCTGGATAGATCTCTATAGCATTTTTCATATTTTGCCTTATATAAAAGTTATTTTATGACCCTCTCTTCTGAAACCATGCATTTCTCTTAAGGCAGAGAGTAACAATTGCATTTTTTATTCCTGAAAATGTTTTCAATAGCGACCAATCCAGAAAATTGTCACATAGTAGGTACTCTATAAGTGCCTGGTAAAATAAATTAACCTACTTCTTCATCCTCCTGTGACTCATTCATGGGTCCATTTCGTGTCTCTTGGAAAAGGATTTTTTTCATTTTTCGGTACTGCAGGTTATCCAGCTCACGGACGGCATCCTTTGTCCTCTGTATGAGGTCAATTAGGGTACGCAGAGGCTGGTCTCGCCGAACAAAGTCATGCTGATTGAGGGAAGAGAGAAAAAAAACTCCAGAAACTGATGAGGAAAAAATTTTAGGTGTAAGATGTAGCTATAAAAGTAAATAGACACAAAATAGTTCTATGGATTTTAGAGAAGTAACAAAATATGATTTTCATTTCCTGTAGTCTATCATATCTTATAAAACTCATAAAAAGATTAACCTGTACTTTTCTCTTCCCTCTCAAGCCCCATTTTATGGACTCTGTCCTAGAGTTTACATGAGAGTTCTTAACGTTTACTTCGCCATACAAGTAATTACAAAGACTAGAACTTTAAGTACTGAAAGGTTTATAACTTTCAAATGTGAACTAGAATAAACAAAAGCAACACAGATTATAGAATATTATTGTTACAATCTTTCTCAGTCTTCCTTTTCACCCTACACTACCACCCTTTCAAAAACACACTCATGTATTATTGTCTTCTATTTCTGTGGCCACATGAGCGTGTACTTCAAAATATGGCAGCTGTTCACTTTAGAGGTCAGAACTCTTGAAACCTCATCTTCCCATTCTAGAGATGTACAACCAGAAATAAGGGAAAAGGGTTTCTGAAAAGTGAAGATCACGGCCCCCAAAGTCCATTGTTTTCTTGGTATAAGCAGCCTTTGTTTTCAATATTAACAAAAATCTTTAATTCATATTCTGGTTTCCTGGCTTTTCAGTCTATAACAGGCTAGAAAGAAGGAATAAGAAGTGGGAAAATAAAGAGTTAAGAAATGTTAACGAGCCTCCCCAGTGGCGCAGCGGTTGAGCGCTGGGTTGCGAAGCTGCCTGCAGCCTCTGCAGCACCGGTTCGATCCCCAGCTGCTCCCCCGCCACCGGAGGAGGGTCCCACATGGCGCGCAGACCTCTCCTGCCGCCCGCTGCTCCCCTCAGCAGTGTACTTCGGTCCTTCTGCCTGCTCTGCTCCCCGCTCTGGCTCTGGTGAATTCTCTCACCCTCCCGCGCTTCTGACTGTACCCAGTGCTTGTATAAATAAATCTTTAAAAAAAAAAAAAAAAGAAATGTTAACGATAGGATTGTTATAAAAAAGAATTGACCTTTGAAAGTTCTCTGACAGGAGAGAGAGGAAGAACGTGTGATTCCATGACTAACCTACCAACTACACAAATGAACACAGGTTTGTAGGTATTTTGCAAGGGGCAATTGCACCTTAGATAGACCTTTTATATTCCAAGAGTTCAGGAAACACTAGCATTTCAAAGTCATCAAGAAGTGAAATTATATTCATTATGCTTTAAGAAAGCAGAGAAGCATATCATGTATTTTGATAAAATTCCACAGCAAATGATCAAAAGTGGGAGAAGGAAGTTTTGTTCTTTAAAGGAAAAGGTTCAGTTATGTGGAAAATTCACTTATGGGAAATTATAATTTGAAGATATTAGGAAAATGAGATATAATGTGGTAGCCTTAGATGATGGAATGGATTTAATTTCTTTATATGTTAAACAGACATGAAAGATGGCCCAGGAGCATTGGGAAAAAAATAATCTGTATGAATTTGCTGTCAGGGGAATTGTGGATTTTGCTCCTGCTTTTACAAAAGCTCTCTTCTGCAAAAAGCCCTTTTGGAAAATGAAACACAACCCCTGGAACCAAGTATAGCCTGAACATTTCAAGGATAAGAATGAAAGGGAGAATGTAAATTATTTTGCTACTCTAATACTTGCAATTATACAAGAGCAAATCAGGTTTTAGTAAACTTCAGGCTGTACCTTAGGATCATTGGATTTTAGAGCAGGAATAGCTCCTAGGAATTCTTTTATTTTCAAGTTAAGGAAATTTAGGCTCAGAGAGTTTTGGTGATTTACACAGCTAAATAGTGGACAAAGTAAGGATACAACTCAGCTTTCTTGATTTGGGGGTTCATTTCTGGTGATCTATTACAGCTTCTTTCTCTCTAAAACACTGATTTTATCATGTCATTCATGGTGACAGATGCAGTGTCCCACTTGTCCCCATTCCAACCTCTTTTGCTTGTTTTCCCTTAGTGTAAGTACTAAAAAGTAAGAGTCCAATTCTATCCGTCTTTGTAGTTAGAGATAACAGTGTGACTAAGTTCTGGCCAATGTAATATAGGCAGAAGTCCCTGAGGAAGGCTTGATTTTCTAGACTAAAAATAAAAAGGCAGGGCACATGAGGAGAAGGGAGTTTGCCCTGCACCCTTCCTTCTTTCTCCTGCATAGAATAAAGAATGGAACCCTGGAGATGCAGGAGCCATTTGGTGACCCAGAAGATAAAAGCCACATGCTAAGGATGGTAAAGTAGGAGGACAGAGTTGCTTAGATCAATGATGACATTGTTGCACTGTTTCCAGCTCTGGACTGCTTATAACACCTTGTCTCTCCCAAAGTGCTGGACTTCTTATTGCATGAAATAGCTGAATCCTTACCTGCCTTTTAAAAGTGACACGCAGTGTCTTAAAAATCTTATTGCCTCCATCCTAAAGTCTGGCTTTTTACAGCCAGGACCCTGTTTGAATTTCTAGGCTCAAATCTAGTCACTCCTACTTCTCCCGCCCCCAACCAACACATAGTATATTCTAGATAATTCTTGCCCTACGTCAGGTATTTCTCATACTGGGCTTTGCTTGTGCTCTCTCTGCCTGAAATCCCATCTCCTCATTGTTCTCCAAACTCCTACAATGGAAAGGTTTTTTTAAAAGATTGATTCCATTGTTCTTGGAACTATATTACATTTAAGTAATACAGAAAGATGTATAAAAGAAAATCACCTGATACATCACCATCCATAAAGAAATATTGCTAAATTATGGAATATCATTTTACACATTCTTTCTCTTACAATGATGGATATTTAGAAATAATTTTCCATGGGAAGACTATTTTACATGCTAATTTTAAGAATAATCTATTAAATTAAGATATATTTGATTTGTTTAATTTAGTTATAATTTCTTTACCAAGAGTTACTAGTTCCTAAAAGATTTCTTAAAGTTAAAAAAAAAAAGATTATATGCCTTTGAGCTACAGGACCTGGTCACCCCTCAGCTGGCCCACGCTATGCCAACCAACTATAGACTGGAAGAGAAAATTGCCTACTTGGAAGCTGGTGTTCAGGACTTTCTGGAAGCTGACTGGAGAAGCAGCTGAGAGTGTGAAGATGGAAAACCCTTTCAGGAGAGTTGAGAATCTACCCCTGGAATTCTTAAGAGGGTTGTTAGGGAAAGGGAACCTAAAGAAATTGTGGACCTGGGAATAAAACTCCTCTCTCCACCATCAAAAAATAAAATCAAATATAGTACAAATAAAATCTCAAAAAAATCATAAAAACTTTAAGAGATTGGAGTTTTATTTCATATATACACCCATATTTTATTTATTATATATTATTGACTATTTGAATAATAGTCAGTAGAAAAGTAGAAAAATAAGTATACTCACATTTCTTTCCTACTTGTAGTTTTTCCTAGTTACATTGGTATTTTTACAGTGTCAATGTTCATGTTTAAATTATATATTTGATATTTATATTTTGTACTTTAACTATACCAATGACTTTACCTTACTTCAAAATTTAAATGAATATGACATTTTAACATCAGGAAGAAAATGTGAGAAAAAGATGAGTTATTTAAAAGCATTTGGGAACAACTAGATAGCCAATTGGAGAAAAAATATTAAGTTCTTCATAAATGAATTTCTGTATGACCTTCCTATCCCAAAGTCCAGAATTAAAAAGGCCAAAGGAAATAGGAAAACAAGTATTTTCAACATCTACTACAAATTAAGAGGGAAAAAACTCAATAGCCCAACAGAGAAATGGCAGATATTATAGAGAGTTCACAGAAAAGGAAATAGAAATGTCTTTTCAACATATGAAAGGTGCTCTACCTAACTCAAAAGAAATACAAATTAAAACAACAGTAAGAAAAGTAATTCACTGATCTGAGTAGCAAAGTTTTTTTTTTTTTTTTAAATTTAAAGGTTTACTTATTTATGTATACAAGAGCTGGGATGTAGGCCAGAGGCGCAGGGGGTGAGAGGATTCACCAGGGACAGAGTGGGGCAGGGACAGAGTGGGGAGCAAAACAGGAAGATCTAGTGAAATACAGTGCTGAGAGGAGCAGCAGATAAGACAGGAAAGGTCTGCTGCACCATGTGGGTCAGCTCCCTGGCCAGGATTACTTGTGCTGCAGTGGCTGCCAATAGCTTCAGAGTGCTAACAAAATTAAAAAAGTTTTGGTATTCATAATGTGTTCATGACTATACATTGGTGCAACCTCTTTGGAGGACAATTTGGCAAATCTATTTAAATTTAAAATCCACATTTCTCTTAATGGCACATATTAAAAAAACTAGCAACAACAAATGTTGGCGAGGGTGTGGAGAAAAAGGAACTCTTCTGCACTGTTGGTGGGAGTGCAAACTGGTCCAACCACTATGGAGAGCTGTGTGGAGATTTCTGGACCTACTAAACATAGAGCTTCCATAGGATCCAGCAATTCCACTCCTAGGTATTTACCCAAAGGACACAGAAACATCCATTCCAAAGAACATCTGCACCCCTATGTTTATAGCAGCACTATTTACAATAGCTAAGCTTTGGAAACAGCCCAAATGCCCAAAAATAGATGACTGGATCAAGAAGATGTGGTACATATATACCATGGAATATTACTCAGCATTCAAAAAAGATAAACACATGCAATTTGCAGCAACATGGATGGCGCTGGAAGGGATCATGCTCAGCGAAATAAGCCAAAAAGAAAAAGAAAAATACCGGATGGTCTCACTCATAGCAGGAATCTAGAGAACTTAAATAAGGGACCAGGAAAATGAATAACTATAAGAAAGCGAAAATCAAAATCAACAAAAAACTATGAACCAGAGACACTTTTTGGGGGTGAGGGGCGGGAGGGGAGGGATTGGGGTCAGAATGGGGGGGGTTGCAATTGTATGGGGAATATAAAAATAAAATTTATTATTTAAAAAAAATAAATAAAAAACAGCAGATAAAAAAAAATCCACATTTCTCTTGATTAGCAATTCCACTTCTAGGAATTTATTCTTTGGAGATATATATATATATATATATATATATATATACACACACACACACACACACACACACACACACATATATACATTTACAAAATGACATTTACAAAACATACACGTCTATTCCCTGCAACAGAACAAAAAAAGATTGCAACCAACACATACAGGTTGTTTAAAAAAATTACAGTTCATCTGAGAATATTAAGAGTCATGAGGTAGCCCTGCATGTAGCAGTGTGGAGCAATACTCAAAACACTATAAAGTGAAAAAAATCAAGGTAGAATCAGATTTCCAGTTTGCTACCACTGGTGCAAAAACAATCTCTTTCCATTTGTAAAAAAAAATCTTCAGGATATATAACAAAATTGGAGACAACAGTTGCTAAATCTAGAGAAAGATCTGGAATGGGAAGATTTATTCTTCCCATTCTACATTCTACTGTATTTTTACTTTCCAAAAGTTGTAGTGTTACCTATTTCAAAACAGTCTCTTTTCCCAGGCAAAATAAATGATGTTTTTCATATTCAAATGAGGTGTTTACCAGTTCTTGTACCAGGTTTCTGTAGTTTTTTTTCTTTTTAAGATTTATCTATTCATGCATATAAGAACTGGAGTACAGGCCAGATGTACGGGAGGGTGAGAGTATTCACCAGAGACAGAGCGGGGAAGAGACCAGGCAGACGGAATGAAATACACTGCTGAGGGGAGCAGCGGGTGAGACAGGAGAGGTCTGCTGCGCCATATGGGTAGCTCCCCAGCCAGCCGGGATTGAACCCACGCTGCAGAGGCTGCGGACAGCTTCACAGCGCTGTGCTTAACCACCTACGCCACCAGGGAGGCCCATTCTGTAGTTCTTTACCCATTCTTTCTTCTCTCCCTCCCTTTGTCTTTCTCCTTTTTTTTTTTTTTTTTAAATCTCTAGATTGGCTAGATTTAGCCACTGAGCAATTTTTCTCCAGAAAAAGCTTTTAAGGAAAGGAAATTGCCAAAATCTGTGAGGTCTGAAAATTTCAGCTGCATTTATAACTGAAGAGCACATTAGCTGGGTTACAAATCCTTGATTTCCATTTTTGTTTCCTTAGAACTTTATATACATTATTCTATTATATTCTGGTTTTGAGTGTTACTGAAGAGGTAGATGTAAAGCTAAGTGGTTATCTCAAAATTAAAACTAAAAATAAGTTTTTCAGTCTGTAGTATGACTTGTTCTTTATTCTTAGAGTTCAGGAACTTTATCAGAATATGATTTGTTTATCACTGAAGTTCAGTTTCATGGTCTTTCTCTTCAGGGCTCCACTTAAATGTCACCTCCCAAGAAAGGCCTTTCCTACTTCTTTATCTAAAACAATGGCTCCTGTCACTCTTTAACCCTGTCCTTGCTTTCTTTTTCTGCAAAACTTTATCAATACCTGACATTGTATCAGATATTTATTTACTCATTTTCCTATTCCTTCATTAGAATGTAAGTTCCATGAGGGTAGGCACTACCTTTCCCTTGTGCGCCACCGTATTATTTATTTTCTGTGCTTAGAACAGTGTGTGATACACAGTAGACAATCAGTAAATGTTTGTTGAATATATGGTGGGCTATTTTGATTTGGTCCATCAAATAAAGACTGAATCAAATAAAATCAAGATTCAAACACTTATTTCTAAGTATATCTTTTGATATCTTCTGCTTCATGTGTTTGTTTTCTTCTTCAGAAATAATAGGTTGGCCTATATTAGATCTCCTTTGTCTTCCATGTGTGCCATCTCTGCTTGTAAGCATCTTTAGAATTTTCCTTTGGCATTTAATTTCGTTTTATTTTCCTAAGAGTATCCACTAGTAGAAACACCCAGCTTTGTTGGTTTATTAGTTTGTTGCTTATAATATATTAATCCATTTTAATTTTTCTCTTTCATTTCTCTCTTTTTCTTTGCCCACTTGTTATTTAACCACTTGTTGTCTGTTGCTGTAACATTTCAGCTTTGAATCCTTATAGTATCATTTTCTTTGAGCTCATTAATTTTACTAAAGTCCAAAGTTATCATTTTTTCCTTTTATAGCAGTGCTTTTTGATTTTTTAAAAAATATTTGCCCACTTCTGGTGTGTTGTTCAGATTGTCACTTTTCTTTTTGGAAATGTGGACCTGTTTCAGAGCACACAGAGCAGGGAAGTCCAGAACATGTGAATGCTCCATGCCAAAGGAGTCCTCTGCCTTGCTGCTTTGGCCACCATGTATCTGTGGTCCATTACTCACAAGTAGAAAACACTTAAGATTTGGGTAGTGAATTAGTCAGTTTCAGACCTATTTTTCAGGAACATTCAAATCCAGAAAATAATGTTTATAGAGGTCTATGATAAAGAAAATGTAAACCAGGAATTTGTGACCTAGCCAAGATGCTCTTCAATTATAAGGACAGCTAATATTTTTAAGAGTCACGAATTTAGGCAATACAATCTTTATGAGTTTTTCTTAAAGTTTTTCTCTATTTTCCAACAGAGTTGGAAAATATGCATAGAGAAAAAGGTTAAAGAAACTTGGATTGAATAAAAACTATTTATATTGTACGAGATTTCTATATAATTCACTGATATTGATAGAACACATTGCCTACATATAAAGTCTGTAATAAAATGTCACATGAAAAGAGGTGTATGATAGTGAAATCAAGAGTGAAATTGACATGATACTCTTGTCACCAACATGCATGATGTAAAGTCATGTAAATATCTGCTATATATTTATGATATATCTTCACTCTTGATGATTTGGCAATACACTGACTGAAAATCCTAGAGTTAGCATTTGAAACACTGCAGATTCTATTCATGTAAAGTTCTTGTAGATATTAGTCACTGGGACATCAAAATGATGACCAGAGCAAGGAGAAATATTCTTTGTTATGTGGTAGAAAGGGGATGGGGGAAGGAAAAAGTAGGGGAAAAAAAACTATCCACAGGGAATATATAGCACATACATTGCAATAATCTTGCTGTTTCTATGCTTAGCTACTATCTCTGGATAAATGACAAGGCAGCATGTTCTAATCCAGTTTGTCATGATGAGCTGCCATCAGAATGATTTACTATATTCCACTACAACATGACTCTAAATCCCCTTCCTCAAATATAAATTTGAAAAATTACCCGTAATAGTTCTGCTGACGTTGGCCTTTCCTGAGGTATTTTCTGCAAGCAGTAATCAACAAATCGCCTAAAGGAGTCTGTCCTGTGTGTGCAAACACATTGAAAGGAAATAAAACCAAGGTCTGTAGAAAACACTAATTATTTAAAATAATTTTCATTCAATTATTTTATATTTTAGGAGACTTTTAATAAAATATTTTGGACTATCAAGATAACTGGACCATTTCCAAGTTTATGGTATCTAAATTTACTTCTTTTGGATTATGAATGTGGACAATTTCAAGTCAGTTAACACACAAACATACCTTAATATAGAAAAAAGATCAATCATAATATTTATCATAAAAATAAAAATACTGTATTTATATGTATTTGTTTTACAAACACTTTTGTCTCCAAAAAATAATTCTTATTTAAGGATCAAGCCTATATTCTTTATTACTAGTTGGTAACTCTTCCATCACCTATAGCCTATACCCAGTTAGTCCCTTAAAGCGTAAGGGACAGAGAGCCTAGAAGATGCTTTCTGGATGAAAATACTTTCTGTCTTGAAAATTCCATTTTGTCTAATCTTCTTTAAATTACCCCCTTTTAAAAATAACTCTTGTGACCCAAATAGCTATCAAAATATCATAGGGACAATATTACTTCTGAACAGACAGTATTTTTTTTTTGTGTGTCAATACATTTAAATACATACAAGGTAAATAAAATGACAATTGAAAAAGTAATGACATCGAGAGTATTTTATTACTGCTGAGAAATTGTAAGAGTTGAGATGATCAATATCAGACAGTTATGACTTAATAGACTAGACTTGTTAGGAAGGTAGCAGGGCATGTCCCCTGAAGAATTTTAGTGACTACACAAAATTAAGAGCATAACACAGCCATAGAAAGTAAAAATGTATGTGCACAGTTCATGCTATAAAGCATCAATGTCACCTATTACAACACACAATTAAGAACTGAAATGCTTTCTATGTCAGATATATTTAAAATGTAAATTTATGGAAATCCCAAATATATATAATTATATATATACTATATATATTATATAGATGGTGATTTTCTTAGACATCTAAAATGATAGCAGTCTTACCATTCACTGGACTGTAATGTCGGTGAATCATTCTGGGCAATGTGATATAAGGCACTCATTGCATTCATGTTGAAAAGGGGGGGCTTCCGTTCCGCTGAAAGAAAAGAAACAGGATAAAGCAGTTCTTAAAAGAAATCAGGCAAATAGAGAAATAAAGAATTATGAGCAAAGCCTTTGCTGCTAAATCAACAGCTCGTTACTGTTGTCTTGCCACATAATCCACTTATTTTAATCTCTAAGGTCAGCCCAGCATAGTCTTTCAGAAGAATGTACTACTGGTCATCTCACTGTACATTGGCAAAGCTTCTAACAAAACCCATTTTAGGGGGGTAGGGGGTGAGGAAGCAAAACAAAATAAAAAACCATAACCCATTTCAAAAGAGTGAAAGAAAAAGTTTTTTTTTTAAAGGTGTGACCCAAGTTTTATTTATTTTTTAAATTAATTATTTATTTTGTGGGACCCTCGCCGGTGACGGGGGAACAAACAGGCGCTGCAGAGGCTGCGGGCAGCCTCGCAGCACAGCGCTCAACCGCTGCGCCACCAGGGGAGGCCTGAAACAGATTTTTTATCACATATCTTCAAAAGGCTGGTGTTTGTCTATCTTCCCACAGTAGACACGAACATTTTTGTGTGTTTTAATTAAAAAAAAAAATCCTTTAAAAAAATCCAGAAAGCCCAAAGATGCAGTAGAATGAAAAAAAGGGGCCAAGATTATTATGGGATGGAACATCTTAAACATCATTAACATAGTGTAGGAAATAAAATAATTCAATTCAATAAACACTGAAGAGTTTGGTTCAAAGAAAAAGTTCAGGTAGGAAAATGGGAGAGAGAAAGAAGGTAAATAATAAATAAGACTTGTTGGAACCACACTAAAAAACTCAGTGAATCAGGTATTTCTTAATGGAAGACTAAGTGCATGCCCAGCTCACCATGATTTCTTTTTCGGAATTCCGATTGCTTTCCTTAACACACTACTCATTTGATATGTGCTCATCTATTGCATTTATGTAACTATACAAATCTTTTCTCTCAAAAGAAATGGTAGCTCTAAGAGCAAGCTCTTATAATCCTAATACTCTATTTGTTTATTTACTCTCTGAGATGTAAAGAGATGCTATTTACACACTAGGTTCTATATTTGTTGACCAAAGGAGAGAAAAAAGGTTCTAGTTTTGAGCACTATTAATCTTATATTATTTATCAATTATGTCATAGAAGAAAATCACTGTCTCATTCTACCATGCTTATCCTACTAGATTTTTTAATTTTATTTTTTAAATTAATTAATTACTTTTACATCATTCTTCATTTGTGTACAATGCATGCTTTTTCATCTTGGTTATAGTTCCCGTAAAATTCCCACCACCATTCACCCATGTAACATCACCGTAGTCCTTTGCACTCTTCCCACCCCTTTTTGAACCTACTCCCTTCTCTCCCCCTGCAGAATGTCTCTGGTTTATAGTTGCCTGTTAATTTTGATCTTTACTTTATTATAATTACGTTTTTTTCCTGATCCCTTATTTGCATCCTAATAGATTTTTTTATATGGCCCCTTTTTTGCAATTCACAATCTGATCTCTTGCTTCATCAGAGTGTTTTGGTTTTTAAGTAAATATTTTTCTAGTAATCACTTTCAAAATGGTGAGGTTAGCTTGTTCTATGCAATTCAAGAAAGAAAAGAAAACCTAAGGTCAAAAGTAATATGGAAGACATTTTTACTCAGAGAAGGAAGAACCTATGAGAAGCCAGAATGGTAAACAAAACAGTACAAAATGGAAATCTCCCTAAAACCTAGAATGTACAAAGTTGAGAGCAGCTGACTTTGTCATCGGCAGAGCTCAAGCAGAAGGCAACTACATTCAATCATCTGTGATACCTACGAGAGTCCTCTTATAAACTTGATTAAATGATTTCTGATACTTTGGAAATGTGACAGTTTACATTTCTAGAATTTTTTTATTAATTTTTTATTAATTTTTTATTTTTTTATTAACCTATCAACAATATATATTTATTAACCTATCAACAATATATTTTACATGTACCAAATATATACAAATAGCACAAGTAAACATCTGAAACATTGTTAACAAGTAAACATTTGAAAGTTGCAGTGTGGATAAATAGATTTATGTCTTTTTCAAATGTAGAAGAGGAAAAACTACTTCTGGTTTATTTTATTTCATTCATCAGGAGTAGATTCTAGAGCTTGGCCTTCTGACCAGTTCAAGTATTTAAGTCATGTAGAACTAGGAGTGCATCAAGCAACTATCAATGGCTTCCCATCATTCTTAGACCAAGGTCCATATCCTTGAACAGCCTATTAACATGATCCTGGCCATCTCTAGCATCTAATTCTGAGAAGCATTTCTCTCTCTGCCCTTCCCATGCCATCTTTTGCTTCACTGTAATGATCAGACACAGGCTGCTTTCTCTGTCTGGACACCCCTCTCGCTTTTGTCCCTTAAACTTTATCTGGTTAATTTTTGCCTCATTGTTTCATCTTAATTTCATTTCTGAATTAACTTAATATATATCTGTTCAAGGCTTATTATATGATTAGAATCACCTCACCAAGGAAGTCTTCCCTGACCTCTCAGATTAGGTTTTCCAATAGATTTTATCATTACAAATCATATTTTTCCTTTTTACCCCCTCTTACAACTGCGATTATTTATATAATTTTCTATTTAATGTATATCTTTTTGCTAAATTTCATGAGGGGAGGGGTAATGTCTATTAAGTCATTTTTGTATTCCCATTGCTGAGCATAGCCCTTGGTATTTATTTTTGGTGACCCCAAAATACTACAAAATAAATAAATGAAGTTAAGGCAAGTTAAAGCAAAGAAGAACTTGGCCAAAACAACAATTTTTGCGTTGCAAGAAGTCACAAAAATGAAAATTCATTATGTCTTAGGGCTCATGTTGGTTTCATTTACTATCAAAAAGACAGGAATCTTCTCTTGCTTACTGGCTAAAGGTATAATCTAAGTTGCTTAGGACACTGCATTGCATAAGGAAGTGGGACTAAAGGAAGAAGAAAATAGAAATTCAGAAAGAAGAGGATGAAGGAACAAAAACAAAAAAACCCGTAGCTTAGATTCAAAGCAGGAACGGTGAGGTCTATAACTAGCAAGCATTCTGTTGTGAATAGAGAGCTGGCCACACAATATATCAACTCTAGTCAAGAAGCACATTTTAAAGACATTTCAATATCTTTATATAGCATACAACTCTTAAGATCTGAGAAGCATTTCATTTAATACTAGTTTCAGATAGTCTTACCTACGTTCAAGTTCTTTGCTAGATGTACAACATAAATCCTCTAAGTCAGGTGACAGGGCTTATTACTAAGCTAAAATATTATAGACAAGGATTGGCAAACTATGGCCTATGGGTAAAATTTAACTAGCAGCCTGTTTCTGTAAAGTTTTATTGGAACATAGCCATGCTTCTTAATTTAAGTATTAAAGTCTATGGCTGCTTTCATGCTAAATCAGCAGAGTTGAGTAGTATGCCAGAGACTGTATGGCTGGTAAAGCCTAAAACACTAATTATCTGGTCCTTTATAGAAAGTTTGTTAATTCTTACTGTATAATAAAATAGTCCACATAGAAGCTTCTACACAAGCAGTGGAATAGGTACTGCAGTGCTTTGGAAGCCCCTTTGTGATATGTAATCCACATTTCCTCAAAGAAAGAAAAACAGTAGACATATGACAGAGTTGAATTGGCTAAATTTAAAGAAAAAAATAGTGATTTCTATTTAAAGATAATGAAGTTTCTGTGGATGATCATATGTATTATACAAAAATCAAGGTCCAGGAAGGCCAGTTCAGCGAAACTTATGAACACTATTTGGCAAGGATTATACTAAATTAGAGCAACTAGACTGAGCTTTGTTTTACTAAGGAAGATCCAAGAGTGCCCCGTCTTTAAATACTTCATGAAAGGCAACAGATTTCTTATTAACAAATGACTTGAAAACTATATATAACAAATAGTGATATTAATTACTACTATTTGTTGAGTTCCTATTACATGTTGGGCACTCACTGCTTTAGGTATGTTACATATGTTATTCATAATTCTTAGAATAGTTTGGCAAGATAAGCATTAGTATTCCAATTTCTCAGTTGAAGAAACCTGAGGTTCAACCACTCTAAATAATGAAACCAAGTTGTATATACTGATGGTAAGTGGCTAAATTGGGATTTCAACCCAGTCCCCTAATGTGATACTTATGTCCTTTTCATGAGGTCTCAGTGCCTGTTCAACAACCCTGTGCATTTTACGATAGTATTTTTTAAAAACTAGCTTTAGAAGAGTAAATATACTCCTCTCCCCAATATCCATGACAATATCTGTGTATTAAAAGACAAATAGTGACTATTGTGGAAGAAGAAAATTCTGGGCGGAAAAACTGCATAACATTTATATTTTCATTTTTTTCCCCTGGGTAATTCATTTCTGAATACAGTCAATTCTCTAATATTGCTGACATGTTATTTTCCAGCTTCTACCATGATCTTTGCTGGTGAAATAAGAGTCTGTAGTTTAAGCAGAAGAGTATAAAATAAACTTCTCTTAAAATCATCTTGATTAAAAAAAAATCTGGTGCGTGGACAATTTCAATGTCCAAGATGTTTTAGAAAATTCAAAATTAAACACTTAGAAACTATAGAGCTTGATCCAGAAAAGAGGGTCAGTACTATTAACATTAACATCTTCCTCTTTGTGATCTTACTTTAGCAACTCAACTATCAAATTAGGGTGCTTTTTAAAAATACATACTTTTATAGAACAGGTGTCATTAGGAAAGGCCACAACACACTATTCAGGCACTATCTACAACATTAAAGGCACAATTCAAAGGCACAACACTGTACTTGGAATTTCACTAAACATCACAATGAATACTTAGAAAAATTATTGGATACTTTTATATATCTACTAACAAGATTAATGTTCAGGAAATAAAAATGTAAGTTAAAACTGTCAAGAAGATACTTGGTTTATTATATTGCCATTTTATGGTTTAATATATTGCCAATATAATAAGTTTGGATAATTGTGGAGAAGTTGAATGTCCAAGGTAACAATTTTATTTTATGAATATTAACTGAGCATGTACTAAAAATTTTCTCTGAATCTAAGATAATATTAACTGTAAGATGCAGCATTAATTCCATCCAACTGATAAGGGACTGATCACAATGATATACAAAGAACTCACACGGCTCAACAAAAACAAAATAAACAATCCAGTCAAGAAATGGGCAGAAGAACTCAAAAGACATTTCTCTAAAGAGGAAATGCAAATGGCTAACAGGCATATGAAAAAATGTTCAACATCCCTTATTGTCAGGGAAATGCAAATCAAAACCACACTGAGATACCATTTTATACCAGTAAGAATGGCACATATAAAAAAAACAACAAATGTTGGCAAGGATGTGGTGAAAAAGAAACTCTCCTACATTGCTGGTGGGAGTGCAATCTGGTCCAACCATTGTGGAAAGCTGGAGGTTCCTCAGTCTACTAAAAATGGAGCTACCATACGATCCAGCAATTCTACTACTAGGGATCTACCCAAAGGACACAAAAAAAGTGATTCAAAAGAGCACCTGTATGCCTATGTTTATTGCAGCACTATTTACAATAGGTAAAACCTGGAAACAACCCAAATGCCCAAAAATAGATGACTGGATCAAGAAGATGTGGTATATATACACAATGGAATATTATTCAGCAATCAAAAAAGATAAACTCATGCCATTTGCACCAACGTGGATGGAGCTAGAAGGAATTCTGCTCAGTGAAATAAGCCAGAAGGAAAAAGAAAAATATTGGATGGTTTCACTTATAACAGGAATATAGGGGAACCAAATAAGACATCAGTGTAAAAAAAAAAAATAATAACAGTACAAAACACAACAAAGCAAAAACAGACAATTATAAACCAGAGACATACTGCAGGGGAGGAGGAGGGAGAGGGGTGAAAGGAAGGGAGGGAGGGAGGAGCACAGGGGACTGTGGTGATGGTGCATGGGTGTCTTAGGGAAGGAAATTCTATGGGGACTCAATCTGCAGGGGTGGGAGAAAGCAAATATTGTCTAAAAAAAATGTGAAAAATGATAAATGTTAAAAAAAGATGCAGCATTATTTAAGATCATAACTTAGAAAAAATGCTGTCAATTAGAAGATGCAGCTGCTTGCAAAATATCTCCCAGTTTTAAAGAGAAGTTAAAATGTAAATTAAAAATCTGGATATGATATATAGGATTTGTGCTAATAGCAGCTAACATTTATTGTGCACATACTATGTGCAAGATATAGTAATATGCATTTTAAAATAAAATTTCTATTTTAAGACAGACAATCCATATAAAATAGGGATTCATAAAGTTAAAAGAATGTGATCAATGTCATACAACTAAGAAATGACAGAGCTGGAATTAGAACTCAAGTTTATTTGACTACATAATCTCTACTCTTAAGTATTATTTGATACTATCATTTATCATTTATCAATTTGAAGTAATAACTACTGTGGAGGGTAAGAACAACTTGGGAGAAGCTCATTAGCTCTTTAATTCAGTAAATCATTTTATTTTTAGTTTTTTAAAAAATATTTATTTATGCATACAAGAACTAGGGTGTAGGCCAGAGCTGCGGGGGGTGAAAGGATTCACCAGAGACAGTTGGGGAGCAGAACAGGCGGATCCACTTAAATACACTGCTGAAGGGGGAGCAGTGGGCGGGACAAGAGAGGTCTGCTGCGTCATGTGGGTGGTTGGGGATTGAACTCATGTCACAGTAGCTGCAGATAGATACCTTGATAGCAATGAGACTTTAACCCCTGTGCCACCAGGGAGACCACATGATAGGGAAATTTGATAAAGAAATTAAAAGAGTTCTTTATAAATTCTGGACCAATACTCTGTTGGTTAGATACGTTTCAACTACTTTCTACTTGTCTATGGCTTGTTTTTAAATTTGTGTTTTACATAGCTTTATATTATCAAGTAGTAAAGGTTATAGTACATACCTATCATTAAAAAAATACTATTTAGAAAAATTCTTTTCTATACCTGTGCAGAAATGCTCCCAGAGTAATAATGATAACAACTACACTTGTATAATGCTTATGTATGCCAGGCAATGTCTTTAGTATTAAGTATCAATATTAAGTAGGTATGTGTGTGTTTATGTATGTGTGTTCATTAATCTTCATAACAATTCTATAAAACAAGTGCTAGTACTATCTCTATTTCATAGATGACAAAACTGAGGCTTAAGAGGGCTTCTCCTAAAAGCTTTTGTTTTACTTTTGGGTATTGAACCAATCTACAATTTATTTTTGAGTATGTTATGGAGAATAGATATTTTTCAAATATTAATACTTACTATTGTGTGTTCCCACATTTGTAATTTTCAGATATGCTCAGATTCTTTTATTTAAACTAGTAGTATGAAAATGTAGCGAAGAGAAAGTAATCTTTAAATCTTAATCAAAATTCTAGGAGAAAATTTAATAAATTTACATTGCCAGGCACACAAATAGCAGTCTTTCATTAAATACTAGTTGGGTGAAAAAATAAATAATCATAATAACAAGTGATTCTTAAAAGTATAGTGAAAATGATGTTTTACTCACCCAATTCAATACAGGTGATCCCAAGTGACCAAATATCAACTTTCCCATCATACTGTCCTTCATCCATAGCTAAGATCACCTCTGGAGCCATCCTGCCAAACATAATGTGCAAAACTCAAGTTGAAAATTGAAAACAAAATTCACCTAATATAGTAATTAATGAAAGAGCTGCTTTTGAGTCTAAAATTTTATCTGATAAATATATTACTTTCTATACAATTTGGAAAAAATTTCCAAAATATATTCTCTATAGTTGGTAATTTACATAAAACAATGAATTTTAATAAATCCTGGTTCCACTATTATCATCCGTTGATCTTGGGTTATTAAACTTTATGCATTTGAATCTTTTCATTTGTAAAATGGAGATAATTCTAGTAGCTACTCCAGAGAGATTTGGTAAAGGATGAATGTATATGAAACATGTAGATAAAAAAACATGAAAAATATTTTATGAAACTAAATAAAGAAGTTATGGTAATGGATGCTACTTTGTCAGGAATTTTCATTAGGGGAGGCAGTGGCCATATATCTTTAACAAGCTTTGCTCTTTCTTAGTGTGTGTTAAGTAGTTGCTTAGTAAATGCTATTTGATGATGATGGGAAAAAATTCAAATATTAGCCATTGTTTTTTTAGTAGGAAATAATTTTCCAAGGATTTAAGTCATATTCCAAGGCACAGTAAACTTTCAATATATCTATGAAAGGAAGAAAAGAAATCTTGAATGGAATGTGGGAAAACTTTAAGTCAAAATGACAAACTATGTAAAGTATCAGAGAATGCAGCAAAGACAAAAATCTGGATTTCCTTCATTTGAAGTAAATATTTGTGCTCACTGGTTCAGAAGGTTAAAGAAGTTACATTGTCCTAGCTTAGAAACTCTGCCTCAAGTTCAAAAGAAACCTTAACTGAAATCTAAAACCTAAGCTTGGTCAGTGGGTTGATAATCCTGCTCAGTTTACACACAATGACATCAATCTTATTTGAGCAATTTGAAGGCACTGGAAATGTTATACTAAAACAGAGTGCTTCTTTTTTTGCTAGTGAGTTTTCTGTTCTCTATTGAAATCTTATTTTGAGACTTATGGTGATACCTTGTCAAAAACCATAACAAAACAAGACCAATGCTATAAGTTCATTTTGTTCATGCACACATTTTTTAAAGTCATGTTATGTTTTCTAATTCTACATACCAGTAAGGTGTGCCCACAAAGGAGTTGGCAGGAGAAGCCATTGAGGCAGATCCAAAGTCAGCTAGTTTCACCTGACCTGGCTCTGTTAGAAGAATATTTCCTGCTTTAATATCCCTAAAGGAAAAAATAAGAGGATTAGAAAATTACTTTTCAATTTTGATTATGGAATAGGTCAGAGCATGCCATTAATAAGACAAAAACTTTATTTTAAAAAACCTTGCTTAGATAGTCTTCTGGGGATTTAGTTATTACTGCATGTTGTAAGAGGGCCCAGATTCCTGGGTATACTTACAGGTTCGTCACAGTAATTACTAAAAGGTAGAATTTTCTTCAGAGGCAAGGAATGCAGTGAGAGGCAGACATGGCAGACAAGGAAACCTATTCAGTTTCTGCACTTACGAAAGTATTTTCTTGGATGCGAAATCCAGTTACCGCCAGTATTCCGTGTGCTGGGAAAATTGGTGCCAATTGTAAGTGCTTTTTTTTTCTTTTCCAAATTACATGACATTTTTGGAGTTTAAAGAAACCTTCGATGACTCTGTATTTACTACCTACCAATAAGCCTCAGCTACACACATACCTTTTCTTGCCTGCGACCCTTTCTCTCTGCCTTTAATTGTAACTGCAACTCTAAGGCATTTGAGGGTACATGTTATATAGAAGGTGTTATTTTAAAAATAACACTGTACAGTAAAAAGAAGACCCTGAAAGATCAAAACAAACAAGGATTAGGGGTTAGAAAGGAAATTGCATTTCTATTGTACTACTACAAAGACTGCAAGTGGTTACTACTAAAGCTATTAGATGTTTTATGCAGCAAAAAGTTTTTAAAATAGGATTTAAAAAGTTCACTCTTCAGTATGATAATTTAGAATGAGAAGATGTGGATATACTCCTTATTTTCTTTTGAAAAGGCATGAGATGTAATGAGTACTAGAAACCAGGAATTATTGGTTGATGGGCAGTAGAAAGATAAAGCAAAGAGAATGAGGAAAACTTAGCTAAAGTTGAAAATGATAAGGTTCAAATGTTTCTAAAACAACTTTTCCAAAAATCTTAATAATTCCGTTTCTGTCCTTATGATGACATTAGTCATTGGCAGAGAGAACTAAAACAGCATTTACTTTTCTTAAAACAGAAAAATTTGTTTTTCTTTCTTCAGTTAGAACACTGACTTGCTTCTTAAAACAACAAAATTCTAAGAAATGGTATTTATTTTTTAAGTGAAAAGCATTCTTTAAAGGTCTTTTTTTTTTCTTTTTAACTTCTTTTTACAAGGTACTGAAAAATACAATATATTTGAAAGGGTTAAATGTGAAAGGGTTATGAAAGACAAACTACAATACAGAATAAAGTATGAGTGTGCAAATTAAGTTAACAAAGACACAAAAAATTGAACTGTGGCTTTCATGAGGCGCAGGCAAAATTATCATAAACAAGTTGACATTCAATTATGACATCTTGATACCAAATAAATCTTTTTTATTGTCAAATCTATAGATGTTATGGTTCATTTTATTTCATCAATATTTATTAGCTATGACTAAGTTCACTCTTCATCCTTAAAAGTCAAATTTAAGAGAGGAATTTTGAGGAAGTTCTGCTTTTGTTGTGCCAGTAACTGGTAAAGGCCATTCTAGCAAGGGTGATTAAACTGAAGCAAAAGGGGAACCTATGACCTAATACTTTCATTTCTTCCCAGTAAATGTGAGGGCTTTCTTTTGTTTTTGAGTCATCTCAGATTCTTTATACCTACCTTACATTCCAATACTTCTGCTACCATTCATTAAAATAAATGTATTAGAAGTTCTTCACTGAGAGTAGGAAAGATTGCTAAAGACATCTTTGTTTAGGAGAAGTTTGTGGAGAGAAGTAGGTTGGAGGGAGGAATGTGGTATTGTGGTAAGGAAAATATAAGGTAGAAGGCAGCCTTGGATTGGGAGTTAGAAAATTTGCATGTTAATCTTTATTATATAAATGCTGTGAAATTATGGACAAGTTATTTGGATCTTTCCAAGTCTCAGTTTCTTCCTCTGCCAAAGTAAAGACAACAAATAACACCTTCAGAGATCTCTATATGGACTATAGAAATGCAAAGTATTTTAAAGTTATAAGCCAACATATACTTATATATGATTGACTTGTTATTTACAATAGAAAAGGAAGAAGAAACTCAGTTAGGAAATACAAATATGCAAGGAAGGACAATTTTCTTTTCTTCTTGAGAGGGTATCAAAAAATTGCTGGGCCCCTTTTCAAATTACCCTGTCTGGAGAATAGTTACCTATAGAACAGAAATGATGTGAGTTTTTGTGGATATCTGGGAAAGACTGAGAGTCAGGAACTGAATTCTAGCAACTTTACTCCTTGCTTCCTGAAGCAGCAGCAATCTATTTGATTCCCATAAATTCTCCTAACAACTGGAGAACACACGAATTTTCAAGGTTTCTTGAAGAGACAGTCTGTAAATGAAATGAATATGTAACTGGTCTCTAATCTTACCTATGAATCAAGGCATGAGAATGCAAATAGGCTAGCCCCTGCAAGGCACCATGAGTAATGGCAGCAATCTCTACTTCCTGAAGTGGTTTCTTGTGAACTGTGAAAGGAAAAAAAAAGGTCAGCAGTAGATGAGTATATGATCAGTTTCATTCCTCTTTTTATCTTACACAGCTATACCAGACTGAATTTACATACTTTCTCAAATGACAGTTTGGAAACACATTCACCCAGATACATGGGATATATGTTTTCTATAGAAGAGTTATATATAATCAGTTAATAGGAAATCCAAGTATAAATACAAACAAGTCCCTCAAAATAAAGCAAAGCCTGATATTCATTGTTATGAATTGCTAATTTACTTGTCAGTTGCAAGTCAAAGCCACACCCATTCCAAATGGCCAGGCCCAAATTTACCAGTCCCTTATGGCATTTTAAATGCCTAGAGTGTTTTAGGTTGCATTATTCTCCTCTGCCACAAAGCCATCTGTAATTACCCCTTCTAACTACAGGTTTTCATTATTTGTGAAAGCAGCTAATAAGCAATTTCTATTCAAAGATCAAGGATGACTTTTTTTTAATGTAAATTTTTAACAGTTTCTGGTTATGTAATAGCAACTACAATGGAGAACTGGGTCAGCCAAGGTATTAGAAAGGGTTAAATATCAATAAAATTTGCTACCATAGACCTCTTTTTCATATATACACAACAATTTGATGGTTTTGACTAAATACAATCATATTACTCAAACATTTTAGTAGTACCTGTCCTGGGTGGGATGTGAACTAAAACTGCAAGAGGGTTGTTAATCATTACTGAGATACACTCAGTGACACTGAAGAGATAAAGTCTGCATAGCTTGTTCATACAGCTCTTAAATACAAGTCATCATCCATTTAGTTTGCCCAAACTGCCCTTTAATATAAGATATAACATTTTTTCTAAGTAAAACAGAAAAGGAGGGAATAATATTTTTATCCTTACCTTCTAACAAATCAGAGGCTGAGCCTAAGCAATATTCCATCACCAACTGTAACAGATTAAAATAAAAACCAGAATAATGAAGGTTAATAAAAAACTGCTAAAACCAGAAAACCAAGGAACTAAGACTACTAAAAGAAAAATTTTTTTGACTTATCTGAATCTGGATTAAATTTGGTCATCTAGCACTAACTGATTTTTATAATTATAATCAAGTGTTTTGTTATCTCCTACTTGGAATTGGCATGAGACAATAAGGGAACCAAATATGGAAATATTCATGTGAATGTCATGCTGAGATGGTTATTTATTTAAAAATTTTCATACCACCTTGTTTCAAAAGATTAAAGGTGACTAGGCTGCAATATAAATTAAATTTTGCAATTTGGAAATAAGAAACAATTAACCAAATACATGAGCCAGCAAAAATCTATACAGAGAGGAAAATACTACTTAAACCAATAATTAGGAAATTCCTTATTCCTTTCCACATTTGAAAAGTTCTAAATGGGCCTCCCTGGTGGCGCAAGGGGTTAAGCACGGCACTACGAAGCAATCTGCAGCCTCTGCAGCATGAGTTCAATCCCTGGCCAGCCAGGGAGCTACCCATATGGCGCAGCAGACCTCTCCTGTCTCGCCTGCTGCTCCCCTCAGCAGTGTATGTCAGTCAGTCTGCTTGTTCTGTTCCCCACTCTGTCTCCGGTGAATCTTCTCACCCTCCCGCGCATCTGGCCTGTACCCTGGTTCTTGTATAAGAATAAATAAATCTTTAAAAAAAAAAGTTCTAAACAAGAAAATACTGTTTAGAACTCAGCCTAAGATATAGCCTTATATGTACCATTAGTTTGACTCCCTGAGAGATACAGGAAACATTTTATATTTTAAAATATATTTAGAATATTAAAAAATTGATATTTATTGGGTGTGCAATCATGGGTGTCATTTTAAAAGCAAAAATGAGAAAATTTTCTTTACTCTCCTCTTAGAAATTTTAGGTATTCAAAGCAGCACTATTTACAATAGCTAAGCTTTGGAAACAGCCCAAATGCCCAAAAATAGATGACTGGATCAAGAAGATGTGGTACATATATACCATGGAGTATTACTCAGCATTCAAAAAAGATAAACACATGCAATTTGCAGCAACATGGATGGCGCTGGAAGGGATCATGCTCAGTGAAATAAGCCAAAAAGAAAAATACCGGATGGTCTCACTCATAGCAGGAATCTAGAAAACTTAAATAAGGGACCAGGAAAATGAATAACTATAAGAAAGTGAAAATCAAAAATCAACAAAAAACTATGAACCAGAGATACTTTTGGGGGTGGGGGGGGGAGGGGAGGGATTGGGGTCAGAATGGGGGGGGTTGCAATTGTATGGGGAATATAAAAATAAAATTTATTATTTAAAAAAAAAAAAAAAATTTTAGGTATTCTAGACTGATTTGTAGCCAACATCAGAATTATGAAAACTCAGTGGCCAATCTATGCATATACATACCCCTCAATATCTTCTCTTACAGTTATTATTTTGCTATTCTAAAAGATATCACATACCCTTTTGAAATACAAATTTCCTATTGATCATAACTGAAATTGAAATTTCACCTGAACATAACTGATATTTACATATTGATTACTTTCATCAAAAAAATTCATGTGAAGACATTATTTATTACATACTTTGCATTGCTCGAGTGATTTAGGATAGGAATTATACATAATATTATTATACAGTGCTCACTTCAGCAGCACATATAATAATATTATACAATGCATCATTGTTATATATTACATAATATATATTTATACATTTCATATTCTTTGAACAAGTCTAGTGATATAAGGTATAGCTTATGCATCATATATATTATATATAAAATATTAGCAGTTGAATTTTATATTTATATATGAATTATTAAATTTATTATATATTTATGTAAACTTATATAAATATATAATATGTTCAAATTAATGTACTACTAGAATAACTGACAATATAGGAAGCCTTGAAGCTTAAAGTTCAGACCTTTTATTATAGCTTTCTGCTTGATAAATAAAAGTAAGCAGATTTATATAAATTTTATGTGTTATTGGGAAATCAATGATTCCACATGCTGTCATAATGAATATGAACCTTTTATGCATATTCTTTTTTCAGCTTTATGAACTATAACTGACATTTTTTTCTTTTGATAAAAACACTTTGATAAATTTTGATAAAGACATTTCTCAAATTGCATCACATGCTTTTCTAGCTTCTTAAACTGAGTAATTGAATATGAATATGTATATATTCAGTTTAACCTCCTTAGTGAATATGAACACAGAACTTTAAATTCAAATGGAGTGAATGTTTATAGCTGATATTTTAAAAATCACGTATTAAATAACTTCACATCTTTGTCGCAAATATTCTTTTCCCAACTATACCATTTCACAAAGGCATCTGATCTGTGGCCAGTTGTTTGCTCTTGACATTAAACAGTACTAGTTGCTCTGCTTTTCAATTAATTATTAGGTCTGCTCTTTACCTTCCCCAGCTTCTTCCTCATGGTCAACGAGTCTTGTGGCTGTTTGGATGCATGTCTCTAGCAACTCACTTCTTGTGAGTTCCTTACACTTAGGCTATCAAGTCCATTGTAGACAGAGACCAGTAACCAAACTTATTAGCATTCAGTGTAATCTAAGAGTAAACAGGCTTCAAGTAAGAGCTTAGAAGATTTTCTGAAGACTTGAAACACATGAGATTTAGCACTTGATTTTGTCACATTTATTCTACCTACTGGAAATTCCTTTGACTCTATCAAGAAATCCCTTTATTAACTCTCTTGCCCGAGAACTGATTTCCAGACAATGTAATACTCCTCTGATTTCTTCTGGTCATAACAGAGAAGTAATGGCTCTAGATATCTTAAGAGATGCTTGAACAGAAATGTTTATGTATCCTGTTTAATAGTCTATCCATGAACTTAATTCTATACCCTGATTGGAGATCATGTATAGGAAAGGATGTTACATGGTAAGTACTCAATAAACGAGTTAAACTGGACTTTAAGTTGGCATGTGCAGGTTGATTAAAATATAACAATTTCATGTTCTAAATAGCTCCTAATATGTCTACCTACAAACAAAAATACAGTTACATAAAAATATACAAAGAAAACAGAGTACAACAAAAGGCCATTTTAATCATATGGTAGGCTCCGTTTGGTAAAAATTAGATGCTGATGATAATACCAAGCACAATTCCAAATATTGGGAGAGTGAGGGATGAGGAATGTTTCAAAGACAAAAATTCTAGGGTGAGAATAAAAGGCCCTGTTTTTTTACAAGTAAATCTTTATAAACTGATGCCACATTTCACTATCTCTTTGTTGAGTGCTTACAGAAATTTCCCATAGGCCAGAGAGCATATTTGATCTTATGGAATGTATAACAAATGGCTCACGCTGACATATTAACAAATAAATGTTAAATGTCAGTAACAAAAGTCAAATGGGACAGAATGGGAGACTGATCAAAGATATAATAGAAAAAATGGAAAAAGAAAAAAATTAGAAAAATTAATAGGAAAAAACCAAGACAACAGAGAGCGAGCCTACGACTTACCCAAGCAGTATGCTCTTTCAAGTAACAACCTTTGTACTCAATGGTATTAGGATGCTTCAACTGTCGTAAAAATTTGACTTCCTTAAGAATATCTTGCCATTTCTATTGAATTCAGAAAGAAAATATTTTAATCTTTAAAGTGAAAGCAGCAAATTTATTATCAAGTATCTAATACTGTTTTTATTGTTTTAAATGGACAAATATTTCATTTATTAAACACTTAGTTTGTCCATTTAAATGTTATTCCTTTGAGTACATGTAGACATCAATTTATCATTAAATAGATTATAATAAATCCATTATAGTAACCCATGTTTATTCCATATAATCATTGATAGAGCTAGAGTATTAAGATCATTTATTGTATGCTCTACAAGAAGGGGAAAAACATTGTTATCAAGAAATGTTAAAGAACTTTGTTTCTCTTGTCAATTTTCAAAAAAACTGTGATCAAGAAATGTTTAAAGAACTTTGCTTCTCTTGTCAATTTCATATTAACAAGCTTATGTCTGTTCAGGTATACAACTGTTTGGCTTACCTCATGTGTCTGCTTCCCACTGTACGACATTTTCTTAATGGCCACCACCTCATTGGTACGAGCATTTGTGGCCTGTTGTGAGAGTAGGAAAAAAAATGAAAAAGAAGGTTTCAGCCAGTTTAACTTAAATATTTCACCAAAGACTTTAAATAACATTCTCTTATTTTTTTTTTTTATCACAGCATAAAGATGACTGAACTTCTGATAGGCTAGAGAGACAATTCCACCCCACTTTATAAATAGCTTCTCTTCATCCCTTTCAGTATATACATGCAAAGGTTGTACTTTACTATCTTTGGATTTGCAATCAAGGATTAGGGTTTGATAAAATATAACCAATCAAACAACAACATTCATACTAGCATCACCATGTAGAATGACCATTAATGGGGAAATCAGTTATGAAGCAACATGGTAAACATTTGCAGTCATATAATGAATAAGCCATTAAAAGAATGTAGTAAACTATATATATATATATATATATATATATATATACACACAAACAGATATAAAAAAGACAAAAACAGAACTTTATATTATGATCTTATTTTTTGCAAAATAGATTATGATCTTATTTTTGCAAATCTTAAATTGCAAAATGTGAATATATGTGTAGAAAAATTATGGAGGAAGTTATACCAGAATCTAATACAAAGGCATTTTTTGACAGTTTATTAATTTAGAAGACAGGTTGACTTTTGTTAAAAATGAAAATTTCTCACATTCTGTGGAGAATTAAGCATTTTAAAGTTAAAAAATTTAACACTAAAACTGTTCTTACATGACAACAAAAAATATATATTTTCAGTATTATAATAAAGGTTAGGACTTTATCTGAAAAGTGGAAATTCTGTGTAAATATCTACATACTGTGTAGCTTAAGGAATGTGGGAAAAATTTGGGAAATGCTCAACTATTGAGGAATTTTAATTAACTATTTTAATTAAAATTTTAAAATTTAATCAATAATTTAATTTTTATTACTTAAAAAAATCCTTAACTCTAAAAAGCAAAGCATACACAAATTGAATCAAATAATGTTATCTAATTGCTTAGTAAGGTTATTTATAATTAATGCTTACTTGAACTAGTTATAAAAAAGAATCACCCTAAAATTAATATATATATCTTTATACTTACAGAATAATCATTAATTAGAACCTGGTAAGTGTACTTGCTCATGGAAACTATCTCCTAGGGCAGAGAACTGAAGTTTGAGAAATATTTTCATCTTATTTTTCTACAGATGTGTATTTCAAATGTAATTTTACATGTTAATACAGAACCAAAACTTAAAAAGAAACTAATGTTTTAGTAGAGAGCAGGGAAACTATTACAGAGTTTCAGCTTTCTAGTACTGTATTATGAATGGTTAAACTCTCTAAATACTTCAAGTTTTATTCTTGAAACTCAAATTCATAGTTAATATTTCTAATAGTCTTAATGTCTTAGAAACTTTTAGCATGCTCACTGGCTCAAAAATTATTTACTGAAAAATATTACTAATATTTTCTTATTTTCTAACTACATTTATATTACTGTTAACTTTTTGTTAGATTTTAGAGAAATATAAAATTAAACAAATGCTTTTCTTTTTGCTTCAGTTATTGAGTCTCATCTAAAGCTAAAAAGGCAATTATATCCGGAAGAACAGAACTAAATTATTTGCTTAGGTGAATTATAAATAATATATTCAGTTAACAAGGCAGTACAAGATACCTAGAAACTGGAAGTAAATTCAAAAGTGAATGAATTTCCACCCTTTAATATAGTTTCCTATTATGCCATTTGTTAATGCTTCCAATTTCTGAATTACTTATATAAATCCAAACAGATATTTTATTAAGTTAATAATTTCAGCTTGCTTTTTCTGAATGTACTCTCAGTTGATTGATTTTCTAAGAGCTATGCAAACTTACAATTCACTTTAAACAAATATTCCTGGCATAATTCTGTATAAAAGCTATAAACTATAAAGAGTCTAACAGAATTATGGTGTTTAGATATAAAAATGTTGGTTGCTAACTCTGTCTTTATGACTCGCTAGCATTACTATGACTCATGAAAAGTACAAACTAGCAGTACCATGTTCTCTGAGTTCTTCATTTCTTCAACAAATATTCACTTATTAAGTGTTCCAAATTTGTTGATATTGGCCTAAGTATTAAGGATTGAATGAGTAAATTTGCCTAGTATCTATCTCTCCTCTATTATGGCAGACAGACAGTAACAAAAAAAAATTTTTGAACTGATGTAAAATTGCCACTGTGACATGTACTATAAAGCAGGGTATGTGTGACTTTGAGAACCAAAAATGGTGGGGGGTGAGGGGAAAGATATGACTTAGGAAGATCAGTTAAAAATCTTCCTTGAAGAAATGAGGCTTCAGCTGAGAGCTAAAGGATGAGCAGGCATTAAGAAGGTGAAGGTGAAAGGGGGAAACATTCCAGAGAGAACTATACAAAGATCCCATGATAGAGATGAAAGAAAGCAATTATAACTAGAGCAATGAGTATGAGAGGGAATATAGCTTAGCTATAAATAGGGACCAAATCATGAAAGTCCTTATAGGCTGGTTACAGTAAGGATTTTGATCTTAGCTTAAGAACAGAGGAGAGCACCTACAGGCTTTACAGGACAAGGAGCACAGGTGACGTTCTCAAATTTGTTTTTATTTTTATTTTTTTCCAAGCTCACTACAGTGTAGACAGTATAAAGAGCAGAGTGAATGCTGAGAAACCAGTTGGGAGGTTATTGCAATTATCTACATAAGAGATAATGGTAAAAGTAACAAGAGGAAGAAGCAGCACATAAATATTACTGTGGTCAGTGAGAAAATCATGTTTTAGAGTAACACCTATGTGGCCACTATAAATAAAAGGGTAAAAGTTTTTAAAGTGTTGGTTAATTTACCTTTAATTTTTTTTTAGTGTTTTCTGGGTTTATATTACTCAGTTTTGCATACAGGCAATGTATAGTTAATGATTACATTTCAAGATCTAAGCCTTTATGCTTTTCTTATTCTATCACTTTCAACAAATATCTATTTAGTACCTATTGTAAATGGCATTGTGCGGTGCTTAGAGTTGTAGAAGAGTATTAGGAAGTCCTTACTTTCAAAAGGCATACACTCTAGCTAAATTGATAGTATTTTCCCAAAAAGCATAAAAATGAGGTACTCTGCAGTCCCCTACAACGTTTGTCTTTTACACCCTAGCATACAAGCATGTTCGATTTATTGTATTCATTCTAAAAGAGAACTTTGAGAGGGGTTTGGCTGCCTTTTAAGATAGGAGAATCGAACAGAGATTTAGTACAACTGTCCTCTCTCAGGTCAAAAGACTCTGAGAAGATGAATTAAGTTATAAAGTAATAGAAAAAAAATAAGATGATTGAATAATGTATCTTTGAGCAGAACAAACAGATCACCCACATATACAAAATGCTTCCATTTTTAAAAAGTTCAAAACTAAACAAAACTGGATTTTTTAGGGCTGCAGAAGAAAGCGGGCTCCATATAAAGAAAACTGTGAGAATAATTACCATGGAATTCAGGATTGTAGCTGATTCTAACATGAAGGGTTTCTGAAATCCTGCCAATATTCTATTTCTTGGCCTGGGTGGTGATTATAAAGGGATTTACCTTGTAACTGTTTAAATTATATCTTAAAATATACGTGTATATGTATTATGCACACTTCTAATATGTATGGCTTATTTATAATTTAAAAAAAATTTTAAAAAGAATTTTGGTGAATGAGGAAGACAGGAGTTCAACTGGACTTTTAAGTACTAACCCCAGAAACTAACAAATTAGAAAATAAGCAACCTCTTTAGCAGCAGAAGGTCACTTAATGATAAGCTGGATTGAGTGGGAGACAAGTATTAGAGGGGGTGAGAGAGAAGTTGTGGTAGTACTGGGTACAGACACCAAAGGATGAGAAAAAATTCAGAGAAAATCTAGGTCTAAGATTTGGTTAACCAAAACAAAGAGAAACCCCACCAACTGGGAGAAAATTTTTGCACACAATACTAATGACAAAGGATTGATCACAAAAATCTACAAAGAGCTGATGAGACTCAACAAAAACAGAAAATAATCCAGTCAAAAAATGGGCAGAAGAACAAAAAGGAACTTCTCCAAAGAGGAAATGCAAATGGCCAACAGGCATATGTAAAAAAATGTTCAACATCACTTGTAATCAGAGAAATGCAAATCAAAACTATAATGAGATACTATCTTACACCAGTGAGAATGGCACATATTTAAAAAACTATCAGGGCCTCCCCGGTGGCACAGCGGTTGAGCGTTGGGTTGCGAAGCTGTCCGCAGCCTCTGCAGCGCCGGTTTGATCCCCGGCTGTTCCCGGGCCACCAGAGGAGGGTCCCACATGGCGCGCAGACCTCTCCTGCTGCCCGCTGCTCCCCTCAGCAGTGTACTTCGTCCATCTGCCTGTTCTGTTCCCCGCTCTGACTCTGGTGAATTCTCTTACCCTCCCGCGCTTCTGACTGTACTCAGTGCTTGTATAAATAAGTAAATAAATAAAAATAAATCTTTAAAAAAAAAGTACCTTCTCATTTAAAAAAAAAATTAAAAAATAAAAAACTATCAACAACAAATGTTGGCGAGGTTGTGGAGAAAGGAACTTTCCTGCACTGCTGGAAGGAGTGCAAACTGGTCCAACCACTATGGAAAGCTGTATGGAGAGTCCTCAACCTACTAAAGATAGAGCTTCCATATGATCCAGCAATTCCACTCCAGCAATGACACAGAAACATCAATTCCAAAGGGCATCTGCACCCGTATGTTTATAGCAGCACTATTTAAAATAGCTAAGCTTTAGAAACAACCCAAATGCCCAAAAGTAGATGACTGGATCAAGAAGATGTGGTACATATACACAATGGAATATTACTCAGCAATCAAAAAAGATAAACACATGCAATTTGCAGCAACATGGATGGAGCTGGAAGGGATCATGCTCAGCAAAGTAAGCCAGAAAGAAAAAGAAAAATACTGGATGGTCTCACTCATAGCAGGAATCTAGAAAACCTAAATAAGGGACCAGGAAAAAGAATAACTACAATAAAGAAAAAATCAAAATCAACATGCAACTATAAACCAGAGACACACTATGGGGGGGGAGGTAGAGGAGAGATTGGGGTTAAAATAAGGGGAATATAAAAAATAAATCTTAAAAAAAAAAGATTTGGTTAGAAACAAATAGATAAGTTAAAGATTAAATTAATAAAATCTCATTTGGAAGCACAGCTATAGGTAAGTCCTACCTGATGGCAGAGCATAAAAGACCACATAACAGAAAAAAATCAAATATCTTTCAATTAAGAAAAAAAAATAATTGATACCAATTTTGGAAGAGAAATAGGTAATAATTAGTACTTAAATATTACTTACTTTAATAGAATAATACTATTAAGGAAGTATTTGTTACTTTGATGAAGCAAACTTGGAAGGTTAACTACATAAATTAAAGAACTATATTTTATGCCAAGAATTTCACTTGAATGAGCTATGTTAATATTTCATATTTTTCTCATTCTTCTCATCAAAATACAATCACATTCTTGGAAGTCATATTAACTCCAGGGAACTAAGACTTGTACACGTAACCTGAAATACTGGTTGACATGATTGTAATAAAAAGTCTTTGCCAGTCCATCTGAGTAACTGTCCATTTGTCTGTCCATCCATTCATCTATCTCTTCACTTATCCATGCATCTCCACTTATCTATCGCTCCACTTATCCTGAACTCCTATCATTTGTCAGATATTATACTAGTTAATGAGGATACAGCAATGAAGATGGGCACAACCCTTGACCTTATGGACTTACTCTTTAGAAAGAGGGACAGATACGAATTTTAAAAAATTATACACATTGAACTGCAACTGTGATAAAATTACATACAAGTACAGGGTGTTAGGAGATCAAAGTCTTAAGTGCTGTAGGAAAGATTATCTTATAGAAGTAACACGAGTTAAAATCTGCAGCATAAATAAGAGACAGGTATGGGGATGCAATTTGCAGCATTTTCTAGGTGGGAGGAGTAGCGCTGAAGTGGGTAGAGAGGTGCTGAAGAAGGAAAGAGTCTGACATGTAGGGAAAATGCACAGGGCTCAACTGGGCTTTTAAATTTTTTGTACTAATTGGATAGCAGAGTCAATTGATATAGATGCCACTGACTTGAATAATGCCTAGAATTCTGGAACTGGCTTTTCAGCCATGGCTATTTGTTTCATTGTTGACATCATTTAATTTGTAGAATAAACAATACAACCAAATGGATTTTTACAAGCAATAGTTAGAATATGAGGAATTTAAAATTTTTGTTTATTTTTAAATTTTTAAAACCTGAATACAAATGATCCTTTTTAATTACTTACAAAATAAACTGCTCCAAAACTTCCATGTCCAATTTCATGCAAGCCAATAAAAAGTTCTTCAGGATCATCTTTGTAGAACAGATCAGCAATCTCTGGGTCTTTTGGCACCCCTTTACGCATGATGACCAGAATTTGTAAGCCTTTTACTTTCGATATCCCAGTTAGTTTTATCTTTCATTGACAAATTTTTTGGAATCAGTTTTTAATACCTGTAGAAAAATAATGTTTGACATCAGCTATTCTAACTTATTTTGTTTCGTAGCAACAAACATTAATATTAACAAGCATCCTGGCCTTGCAATTCCACTATTAAAAAAAAGAAGAAGAAAAATGAAGAAAGGATCTGAATAAACATTTCTCCTTATATAAGTGACCATTAACACATAAAAAGATGCGCTGTATTATTAGTCACTAGAGAAATAAAAACTGAAACCACTCAGTGAAAGAAGTCAAATACAAAAGACTACATATTGCATGATTCCAATTATATACATCCAGAACAAACAAATCTACATAGAGAGAAAATAATTAGTGGTTGTTTAGGGCTAAGAGGAAGGGGTAATTCAAGGTGATAGTTTTAAAAGGTATAGGCTTTCTCTTAAAGTTGATGGAAATATTCTAAAAGTGATTGTGGTTATGGTCACACACCTATTAATATACCAAATACCATCAAACTATATACTTTGAAGTGGATGAATTACATGCTATACAGATTATATACATATTGAAATAACAAGAGTTTACATTACTATATTACGTATCAGGAAACACTAAATTACCTTATATATATTCTTTTCTTTAATCCCCACAACAGCTTCATAATGTAGGACATTATTATTTTAACTTTACAAAACAAACTACAACTGAGAAGCAAAACGACTTCCCCTGGCCAGGAAGCCATATTAGTCAGAACTGGGACTCAAATCCGGATCTAACTGCAAAGTACATGCTCAATTAATATGTGTATAGAGGTAACTGGATACTCTTTATAAACCATTACAATAAAATGCTATTATTTGGAGGCTATGGTAAATGATGACTTAAAAAAGTTATTTTTTACTATACAAAATATTCTTGAAGCTTTTATTCATAGAGAACGTCAATAGATGAGTGGATAAACAATCTGTAGTACATATAGACAACGGAATGCAACTCAGCAATAAAAACTACAACGTGGATGAATCTCAAAATAGTTATGCTGAGTGAAAAAAGTCAGACAAAAAGTACCCTATATACTTTATGATTTCATTTATATAACACTCTGGAAAAATGCAGAAGAGTCTAAAGTGACAGAAACTATATCAGTGTTTAACTAGGGATAGGAGCAGGTGATAAAAAGTGGGAGGAGGAATTAAAACGGGATATGAGGAAGTTTTGGGGAGTGTTTACTATTTTCATCATGATGTTGAATTCACATATATGTATGTTAAAACATAATATGGTAGAATTATTATAGGTCATTTATAAGTGAATAAGATTGTTTTTAAAAGCAATAAGAAAACAAAATTATAGGCAAATAAAGTGGGGATGGCTCTTGCAAAATATGTGCCAGTTAAACATGAATCTTACCTATGTAATGTTATAAATCAATTCTCCTCAACAAAAATTTAAGAAGTCATTCTTAATGTCAAAGAGATGAACACATACAGATGCATACACACCCATTCCCATGCTCAAAGGACATAAATAGCTATTTAAAAAAGAAATAGAGGCCATTAATCAAATGAAACATATAATTTCACTTGTCATGAAAGAAAAGTTAAAGTAATAAGACACCTCATTTCAATCACCAAATTAATAAAGTAAACTCTTAGTGAGGGTCTCAGGACAGTCATTTTTATATATTCCTGAAAGGATACAGTGGGCACAGTTTGAACCAGAAATACCCTCTAGGAATTTACACAAGACAACTTCTTTTCGGGCAAAAGGGATAGGATGCAAGCAAGAAGGGATAAAATAGTGAAGCTGGGAAACATGGCTTCTTTCACTTGCAAGTTTGGATTTTTTTGTGTTTTATTTGATATACATGCTAGGAATTCAGGTAATTTTTATTTCCTTCTTTTTGCTTATCTATACTTTCTAAATTTTCAGCAAAGCCCATTACTGTTATAATTAGTGGCAGAGTGTTATAAAAATTTGTTATTTCAATACAACACAAAATTGGTAATATTTTCCAGACAATAATTTGATAAATAGGAATCAAGAAACTTGAAGCCCTGGTAGCACAGGGATTAGAGTCTCAGCGCTATCAAGCTACCACCAGCCACTGAGGCATGAGTTCAATTCCTGGCCAGGAAGCTGACCCACATGGTGCAGCAGAGCTCTCTTGTCTCGCATGCTGCTCCCCCACCAGCAGTGTATTTCAGTAGATCCTCCTGTTCTGCTCCCCACTGTCTATGGTGAATTCTCTCACCCCCACACCCCGGACCTATACCTGTGGCCTACACACCCTTTTGTATGCATAAATAAATTAAAAGGGAAAAAGAAACTTTAATAAGCTCATTCCTTTGAACCGAATAATTCCCCACATAATATGATATAACTGAAAACAATGAAAATTTATAAGGAAGTTATCTGAAACTAAACTTTTTATAAGAGTATTTTATGCCAATTTTATTAATATTTTTACTTTCCCCTTTATTTTTCTTACAAAGATAATAAAAATTCATTACAGCAAGACCAGAAAATAGAATTTGTTCCCACTTTATAGGAGACAGCTAAGTCATGGATCTGTGTACAATACCTTTTTGTGTATGGCACGAAATACACTGTATTGCTTAAATTCATTTTAGCAGCAATCTTGTTTTCCTCTTATAATATCAGTCTTTTGTATTTATGGTGCACCTATAGAAAAGAAGAATAAAATATATAATTATAGAGGCAAAATTAAACAATAATTGGTAATGTGGCATTTAAAAGTATTTATAAATGTAATATTATCACGTTAAATTTTATCTTCATCTGCTTATGGGTGACAATGTAAAAGGAAAGTGTTCTCACAATAAAGACACAGACTACTCTTTCACAAGCAATACCAAGGGAACAAATGTGTCAACAGATTTCAGAATCTATAGTGAGGCTTCCACTGGTTTGTCTGAGTCCAAGGAAACTCAATAGAAGCTACCAGTATAAAGGACTGATCTGACAGCACATGGTGATGCTACTGATTGCCTGTCACTAAGGCTTATATTTTGAATTGCTTTTCCAATAGGGATGATGATTTACACTGACTCATCTGTCTTTCCTTTTCTAGGCATGCCTATAACCAATCTCCCACATTTTAGGGCAACGATTATTCTTTACTATCTACTACAGCAGTATATGCCCAATGAAGGAAGCTGGGAAATATATACTATTACCAAAAAAATCCATAATCCTGGTCAGGACAAACCCCATTAATAATGTGACATACTTTTCTCCATGTATATTATTTCTTCATGCTCATATATATTTTATTATACAGCTGAGATTATACATATATAGGTATGTAAAACTCCATAGTCCACCTCTTTCATTTATCTCTATGAGTATTTTAGTCATGTTATCAAACACTATCATAAAGCTCATTCATCGAAATGCTCAATGTATATGTTATGGAAGAGTCACATTCATTCACAATTGTTTCACCACAATTTGAAGACCTGCTGTAGTCAACCCTCTGTTGAACTATTAAAAATTAAGGTGTTTCGAAGATCTTTGTACACATTATCCATGTAAGTTTCAGGGCTTTATTTGGAATAGATTTCTAGAAGTAGAATTACTGGGTCAAAAAAATGAAACAATGTAAAATATACAATATGCATGTTGAAATAATCTTCAAAATGCTTGACTAGCTTTGGAGGGGAAGGTCTTACAAAGGGAGGGGGAACTAGACAAAAGGTATCAACCTCCATTTTCACATTTTTTTTTTTGGTATTGAGAATATCCTAATCTCCTCTCTGTAATCTCCCTATATTTCTAATCTTTCCCCCCTATTATTTTGTTACTCCCTCTGATACTATGGCTATGGAATGCTTTAGATTGAGCCGTTGCTAAAACTTGCCTGAATTTGGCATCACATTTTATTTAACCATCAATCAATCAATAATTTCAATATCTCTATGTCTACCCTGCTAAATTAATCTGACCATAGCATCAGTGAATTAAAATATTACTGATATTAAAAGAAGACTAGTTGTGATATTTCTAAGAAAGTAGTTTTAAATAGGGCATTTACTAGCTTTTTCATACCCTGATAAATTTCAAATGGAGACATTCACTACTAGAAGATAGTTTCTTATGCTATAGACATGCATGGTTAGTATTTTTTTCTCTAAGTACTTAACTCATTTTTATGTAATTTTTCTTAGAATATGTACTGTTTGCAGTGGCATGGCTGTATAAATGCTCTAAAATAAACTTTTAATATTTCTAGGAATTAAATTTTCTTTGCTTACTATTTTTTTTTTCCTGCTAAAACACTGCACATGTTATTCAGGCCGAGAACCGAGAATAAGCTTCAAGAGTTTTTCTTCCATTTCACCACCTCCCTTCTTTATTTATAAATAAATGACTGTTAGATTCCCTGAAAGTATTTTCTGTTTTTCCAAATTATTTCTCCAGCAGTTCCTCTCTTCTCTGATCTGAAGCCTGAAGTCTTCTGCGTTACTGCAAGCTGCTATCTTAATTTCTGTCCATTTAATGGTGTTAAGTAACACTACGAGCACATAGTACTAGCCTTAATTCTAAGCCCTACTCCCATATTCTCAAATATCTGTTTGATTTCTCCCTTAAATGGCTCACATGCGCTTCACATTAAGTCTCACTTTTCTCTTTTCCTAATCCCTAACATCAATTAATTCACAATTCTGCTTCAAAGTACTTCTTTTTATCTATTTTTCACTTTCCATTTCTCTTAGCAGTCATTATCTCTTTTCTCAGCTTTTGTTCTTTCAGCCTCTGGTCTATATTTTCTGGAATTTATCTTAAAAACACTATTACCATAATCGTCATCCTGAAGCACAGTTCAGAAAATACTAGATTTCTGCTCAAAATCCTTCAATATTTTCCTACTGCCTACAGTCTAAACTTTACCTCACTAGCATTCACATCTGCTCTTAAAGTGCTATCTAGCCAAAATTCTTCTTTAAAAAAATGTATTTATTTTTATTGAGGCTGACATATAACATTCCATTAGTTTCAAGTGTACAACATAAAGATTTTACATTTGCATATTTTATAAAATGATCACCACAATATGTCTAACATATTAACATATTAATATCCATCCCCCTGCATAGTTACAATTTCTTTTCTTGTGTTGAAGATTTTTAAGACCTACTCCCAGCAACTTTCAAATATGCAATACAGTATTATTAGCTATAGTCACCATGCTGTATATTATGTTCCCCAGGACTTAGTTATTTCATGACTGAAGGTTTGTTACTTTTGACTTCCTTCACCCTTTCACCCACCCACCCCTGTTCCCCAACCTTTGGGAACCCAAATTCTTAAATTCTACAATCAGGAAAAAGTGATTTACTATACAATTATGTTTTCATGTCTTTGTCTTTGCTTATGTTGGCAACCTCTGCTAGAATATTTAAATCCCAATTACTCATAGTGGAGCTAACCATCACTTCTTGTATAAATCTACCATTTCTCCCCTTTTGTTTCCATTCTAACAGAACAGAACTCTGATGGGGTGACAAGTGCTTCTTCAGAGTAGGATACACGTCCAAATGCATGTTTTTATTAATCATTGTATTCTCGTGGCATCTTTAAAAATGTTTGAGATATACTTCACATACTACATAATTCACCCATTGAAAACATACAATTCAGGTTTTTTAGTATATTTACAGATATGTGTAGCCATCACCAGTCAATTTTAGAACATTTCCACAAATGTTCTAAAAACATTTCCACAAAAAGAAATCTCATATCCCTTAGCTACCACCCACTAACCCATCCCTTCATCCCTGTGCAACCACTAATCTTAATTTTTTGACTGTGGATTTCCCTGCTCTGGATAGTTTATATAGTCAGAATCCTACAATATGTGGTCTTTTGTGACAGCTTTCTTCCCTTAGCATGTTTCAAGTTCATCCATGTTGTAGCATAAATTAGCATTTCTTTTTATTGCTGAATAATATTCTACTGTATAGATATACCACACCCTGTTTATCCATTTATGAGGTGATGAACTTTGGAGAGGTTTCTGATTTTTAGCTATTATGAATAAGATTGTTATAATCACTTGTGTATAAGGTTTTGTGCAGACATTTTCATTTCTCTTGATTATACACTTAGGAGTGGAACTGCTGAGCCCTGTGGTATCTTTATATAGCAGATACTCAATAAAAATCTTATGAAATCTCCTTCCCTTTTTCATTACAATCTTGTACCAAAAAAATGGTTTTTAAATGCACCATTTCCTCAAAATATGAACAAGAATATTTTTCCTTCTAAGAGGACAGCACTTTAAGCATTAACTGAAGATGAAATGATATGCATGAAATTATTTTTTCCCTCTTTTTTGACCTTCTACAACCTCAGGTGTTACATTTATTATGAGAACTTAGAATTGAGCCAAGAATGTAGTATTTCAGGTCTTAGGCCCTTGGGCCAACTAAACAATCCAGCTTGCTTAGAGTAGATTTCATCAGAGATGTATAACTGAAATAATTTTCTTCACTGTTGATCCTAGGAAATGGAAATCTTCCAACAATAATAATTAAGTAAATTATTTTTCACAAACATTCTCACTTAATGAGGAAAGAACACTTGATAGAGATATATATATATATTTTTTTTTTTTTAACTTTCTCTCTTCCCAGAAACTTTTGAGAATGATGATTCATTGAAGATTTTTAGTTGCCTTTCAATGTTGTCATCACACTTCTTCAACAATATACCTGGAGCCAACTAGTTTGAAAGCTCATAATATTTCAGCATTAAGAAAGAGAGTAAGAATCAGAATGTTTCGTATTGGAAAAATTTTTAAAGATCAGATATTTTCAACTCTTTCTTTTAAAATGAATCTTAAAAAACAGTCAAATCATATCCATGTAATAGCATTACTCTAAATTAAAATCAAGGTTTTCTGATTTCTCACACCAGAAAATGTTTTTCTGAATCAACCTCCCTAACTCAAATTCCAAAGCATAAAAATGTCCTCCTATTTTTCTATATTTGGAGGGTAATCAAAACCTTAACATAAGATTGGACTTTTGTGTCATTTTTTTTTTTTCTCTAAAGGATCTCATAACACACATACAGTGGTGGATCCAGGTTCTTATGATGACTGAAGTGTAAACAAATTTGGGGTTCTCTTTTTTTTAAAGATTTATTTATTTATACAAGAATGGGGTTACAGGCCAGATCCACGGAAGGGTGAGAGGATTCACCAGAGACGAGTGGGGAACAGAACAGGCAGACTGACGAAATACACTGCTGAGGGAAGCAGTGGGCGAGACAGGAGAGGTCTGCTGCACCATGTGGGATTCTTGGCCGGCCGGGATAGAACCCACGCTGCAGAGGCTGGGGACAGCTTCACAGTGCGGCGCTCAACTGCCTGCGCTACCAGGGAGGCCCAATTTGGGGCTCTCTTTAAGAAAAAAATTGCAAAGTTCCCACAGGAAAATAGTTATAGGGCTTTAGAGGGGGCTGGTACAAATACGGTGCTCGGAAACATAAGCTTCCAGCAAATTAGCCTAAGTAAATTTCTATTATTTCATTCATTTTCTTGCTGCAGAGGGTAGACAGAGGTAGGTAAAATCTTTATTTTTTTTTTTTTTTTTAATTTTTTTTTTTTAATTTTTTTTTTTTTTTTATAGAGGCATGTTTTATTTATTTATTTGTTT